ATACACACACCCACACACACATACATGTTGTATTTTCAATGTTTTCTGTAAGCTAGTCCTGCAGAACGCTATCATAGTTTTTCTGAACCCCTCCATCTCCCCCAGAATAATATCTTACTTGTTCACTGCAGTGTGTCTGTGAATCTATTAGCAGTAATGACTATATATATATATATATATATATGTATTTATATAGGATGATCCTTGACAATATTTTACCCAGGTGTAGAAAACACTCCATATAAATGTATATTTGCAGTGTTAGGATTGCCTGACAGCATTCATATGTTTGAAATCGGATCAACCCGAGTAAGGTCTTTTCAGGCTACTGTTGAATCCCTGATCCGAGTTTTCCTCTCTCCTTAATTATCTCCAAAGCAAACCTCCAGTGGCTTCCCTCAGCCCAACAAGGAAAAGTGGAGTGATAGAAAGGTAGCAAGACCGATACGGGCTCACATATTGAGCGTACTTCATGTGTATGTATGGACTATGTTGTGTGTGTGTGTGTGTGTCAGTCTGAGAGGAGTAAAATGATTCTTGCCCCAGGCAGCGATCGATCAGATCTTAGATGCAGAATTCCCAGCGTCCCTCTGCTGAGCCCATGGAGCTGATTAGCTCATCTCATATTCTCAGAAAACAGGAAAGAGCACAGGAGGAAAGAGGATGGAAACAAAAATGAGAGGGGGAAAAAGAAAGGCTACAGGAGACCAAAAGCAGTGGACAAGCAAAAGGAAGAGATCAGTCAGATGTGGAAATAAACATGAAAAGAGTCAGTGCTGAGAAAGAGATACAGGAAACATATTTTATCAATGAAGAGAGACTGAGATCGAGAGTAGATGCACTTTCTTTTGTTCCTCTCTTTCTCTCTTTGGATTTTGTCTTGCTCACACCATGTAAATTTTAAACACCTCACCATGTAACGTGGCACCGCCCTCAGCAGTACCTCTCATTATTGGACATATGCAGCGTTCCACTGTATATATATATATATATATAAAAAAATATATCAGAAGTATGGCTGGTCTGCCGAGAGCGAGAGCAGGGCTTCTGCATTTCAAAGTGCAGTGGGAATATTGCATGTAGTGAGGTCTCTCTGACTTTGTGAGAGGACCCGTGAGCACTTCTGAAAGAGGCGGTGGTGGAGAAGGGGAAAAAAATGTACTTTCTCTCGGTTACTTCTCTAATTCTAAGCCCATGCATCCAGTGTAGATGAAGTCAGACTGCTTTAACAGGGTTGAAGAGCTAGATCTGAGTAGGTTCACTTAATATGCAGATGCTCCATCCGAGAGGCGTTTGCCTTGCTCCTTATTATTTCTGACTCTGCTCTGTTAGAAATCTCCTCCTCTGTCACCATTCATTCATTATTCATTCCTTTTATCATAGACAACTAATATGTTTTTTTTTAGTTGCTACAGTATTATTGGTGCTGATATCTAAAGAACATTGGGTCGCTGATATGTTGCTAATATAATAAATGTCCAATATATTGCTTAAAAAAGCGTATTCGATGCAATATTTAATAAAATGTGACAAAACGCTTGTTAAAATAGGCAAAGGTGAAAGACCCAATGATTTAACCATTATGTTTCTAGTATGCTATATGTTTGGCAACAGTTCATCGTACCGTAATTGATGGAGTGTTTAGCTTTCAATTCATAAAAAAAACCATGTAGGAAGACTCATCATGGCCATATTCCAGGATGACAATGTCAAGATTCATTAGGATCAAATTGTAGATGAATGGTTGGGAGGGAGCATAAAGAATCAATGTTGGACTCCTGCATTGTCGAAATAAGATCTTAACCAAAAATGGATGGAAATAACACTACAACATTTAATTCCATCAAGAGTTGCATTAATTTTGGGTCAAGATCTTGTATTGTTAATGCAAGAGAAAAATTGTAACTTGGTACTTGGAAAAAAAGTAATCTGCCTTTACTTTAAAGTAATTATTATTTACCTCCAACACTGCTGAAAGTCATATTGTAAAAACAATATCAGGTCATTTCTATACACAACCAAAAACGGTCTTTTTCAGAAAAGAGTACTGGTAGTGTATCGCCCTGTGAGCCTGCAGTGTGTTTGTATGCATCAGAAAGCACAGCTCATTATCTTCCCATTACGTATTTACACATACTGTAAACATGAGAGCCAACAATTCTCCTCCGAAACATGCAAATCAATGAATGCATAACCTCGGGCAAACTCTCGCTGATGTTAGAGATGATTTAATGGTCGTAGACGCTGTCTTTCAGAGCTCTCCCTTCCCAGAAGGACTGGAGGGAGGGATAGTTGGATGTAAGGAACGGGGGATGGGATGAAGAGAGAGAAAAACAGGGGATGGGGGGTTTGAGCAGGGTGGATGAATGTATTTTGACCCTGCACTGCCAATTAATCCTACCTCTTTTTAATTGGGGCTGAATGGACTCCAAAGGGCAGTGTTGAGATGCACACACACACACTATATTGTACCCGTTAGGCATTAAAGAGGCAAGCCTCATTTACATATAAACCAGGTCTTACGGGTGCAGTTCACTGGTCTCTGAACACAAGCAAACGACTTAAGCCTAAAAAAGCAGATTGGCTGTCTCCAATTTTAGCTACTTTTGTATTTCCCTACGCAGTGACTGTGCTTCCTTTACACTTCCACCCTTCAAACGCACACACACAAACCCAGACATCCACGAAGCTGTCTGATGTGTGTGTCTCTCTATAATGCCTCTTATCTCCCTTTTCCTCCAAACACCCCCTCATCCCTAACTTTACAGCCCTCTCATTTCACGTCTTTGATCAGGGAAGTGGCGCACCACCGAAATGACAGTGGCTTGGTTTTAAGCACAGGTCTGCCGCAGTCCAAAGAACAGAGAGATTTCTTTAATGAAGGGGTTGGTTCCCTCCCTGAGCTTTTGTGTTTGTCAAAACCACACCAATATGTTACCAACACCTTCTTCGGGACTTACATTCTGAAAATTTCAAGGCATGGTTGATTTAGTCATTTATTCACCCTCACGTTGCTCCAAACCGTTGTGTTTTCCTTTCTTCTTTGAAAGAAATTTTCCGTACAATGGAAATGAATGGAACTTTTCAATGTTTAAAGAGAAACTCGTTATGGAAGCTTGTTTCTGCCACAGAATGAAAAATAAAAAAGGTAATTGTGACTTTTTATCTCACAATTCTGACTTTTTTTCTCACAATTGCGAGATATAAAGTAAGAATTGCATGATATAAAGTCGCAATTGCGTTTGATAAAGTCAGAATTGCGAAATAAAAAGTCAGAATTGCGAAATAGAAATTTGCAATTGCGTGTTATAAAGTCAGAATTGTGAGATATAATATATTCTGAGGGGAAAAAGTAGAACTGGCCTGATAACTCGCAATTGTGAGTTTATATTTCACAATTTTGAGAAAAGATGTCAGAATTTCTAGATATAAACTCGCAATTATGTGTTATAAAGTCAGATTTGTGAGAAAAGTCACAATTGTGAGAAAAAAGTCCTAATTGTGAGATAAAAAGTCGCAATTCTGTCTTTTTCCTCACAATTGTGACTTTATATCTCGAAATTGCAACTTTATTTCTCAGAATTGCGACTTTATTTCTCAGAATTGCGACTTCATATCTCACAATTGCGACTTTATTTTTTAGAATTGCGACTTCATATCTTGCAATTGCGACTTTATTTCTTAGAATTGCGACTATATCTCGCAATTGCAAGTATATCTCAGAACTGCGACTTTATATCTAGCAATTGCTACTATTTCTCATAATTGTGACTTTATATCTCGCAATTACGACTATTTCTCAGAATTGTGACTTTATATCTCGCAATTATGACTATTTCTCAGAATTGCAACTTCATATCTCGCAATTGCGACTTTATTTCTCAGAATTGCGACTTTATATCTCGCAATTGCGACTTTATTTCTCCGAATTGCGACTTTATATCTCGCAATTACGACTTTATTTCTCAGAATTACGACTTTAAATCTCGCAATTGTGACTTTATTTCTCAGAATTGCAACTTCATATCTCGCAATTGTGACATTATTTCTCACAATTCTGACTTCATATCTTGCAATTGTGAGATAAAAATTCGCAATTATTTATTTTTATTCAGTGGCGGAAACAAGCTCCCATAGCTCATTTATACGTTTTGAATATGTGCATATATGAATGTTATCATCTACAAATCTATAGTATGGCTTTAAATGAATCTGTGATGCTTTTTGTTATTTCAAAAAGCATTGGTCATCATTCGCTTCCATTTTTTTTGGAAAAACTTTTTTCTCCACAGAAGAAAGTAAGGAGAATATGATGAATTCCTTTTGGGGTGAACTATTCCTTTAAATAAACGAGGAAAGTAAAAAACAAGGATCGTGTGCTGTAATGCATCTCCATGACATCATGTGCTGAGTTCAGCCAATGTCTCCTTTAGCCAAAAGTCATCACGTTTAGGCATGAAAATATCGGGATACATCCATCTGGATCTAGTCAGCGGTGCACTTTATTTGTATTGAATTTGCATTAGGATACAAAACAGAATCTCATCTGACCTGAAGCTCATTGGAAAATTGATCGTTGTCAATATTACTCTAATATTGATTGTTCTCGTACATGAGAACAGCATCATTGAGCTAGCATTTGAAACTCGAGGAAGCTGACTGTCCACTGTAAACCATCCTCTGAAATATTAAAATTTGTATTGTAGTGTTGATTTTTTTTCATTCCGATTAATTGAAATATATATGATAATATATTTATTATTAAATATATTAGATTTTGCAATTAAATATTATATCATATATTGGAATGTAAAAAGTGTTTAAATTTAAAATGAAATAATGTAAATTGCATATCCTCTCTAAACTATAACATTTGAGAGTTTTTATTTAGTAATAATTGTATTAATACATGTTTTATAATATATAAAAAACATGTTTGTCTTAATATATTTTAAGATCTTACTATTAAGTATATAATTATTGTCTGTCTTTGTTGTCAGGATCCCGTCTGCGTCAGGAAGACTTCGCACCCCGCATTGTGGAACACCCCTCCGATCTGATCGTATCCAAAGGTGAACCCGCCACCCTAAACTGCAAGGCTGATGGAAAGCCCAACCCGACCGTGGAGTGGTACAAGGATGGAGAGCGTGTGGAAACGGACCGGGACAACCCTCGATCCCACCGTATGCTCCTGCCGAGCGGTTCCCTATTCTTTCTGCGTATCGTACACGGGCGTCGCAGCAAACCCGACGAAGGCTCCTACGTTTGCGTGGCCCGTAACTACCTGGGAGAAGCGGTCAGCCACAACGCCTCACTGGAAGTAGCTAGTAAGTGCTTGGCTGGTTTCTTATCGCACTGGGTTCTTGCGGTTTATGGATGTCTACATATTTATAGTATATGAAATTAAGATTTCAGATGAGTACTCTTTCATAGAAGTCGTATAGTCTTCCAGGAGTGGTTTGAAAGCAGGCCAGACTTAATTTGGCTTTGTGTTTGTGAGTTTCCTGGCCTTGAACTGAGTCTAAGAGCGTCTGTAGCCCCTCCAGCTGAATAGAAAGCGTTTCCAGTTTCCTCCTGGGTCTATGGGTCTCAATGGACTCAGTGGGTCGGATAATCTCGCTGGAGATGGGCAGGATGTGACTGTGCCACTGGACCTGCATGGTGATCCTGATAGAGGAAACGGGCCAGACGGCATGAAGAGAACAGAATAGGTCGCAGTAGGTGGTCGTGAGCCATAAATGAACTCACAATAGTTCATTATATTTACAGTAGAGATCACAAGATAGCAGATACCTTTATCTGGTACGCTTTATTGAGGTGTGTTGTATCTCTCTTGTCTATTTGCCATTTGTAGTTGCGCATCAACCGGGTCCATTTTTTAATCCTTTTTTAAAAAAAGGTTTCACAGAAACGTTTTTGTGTTGAGGCTGAGGCGCAAAGCAGATCATTTAAATGGGCTTTTTACTTAAAACTTGTGGTTTTCGGCGATTCTCCTTGGACTTGGACGTGATATGCATTACATACCGTCTCTCTTTAAGCTTGAAAGGACTGATCTCAGATATCAACCGCTTTTCAAGTATGCCTAGGAGCTGTCACCAAGCCTCTTGTTGTAATCTAATCGAGTCAGCGGTGGACCTGGAGGGGGGTGAGTTGGTCGTGTAGTGTGTACCAATGGCATGTCTTACTCTTAAGATCTTACCCTTATGGAAATGTACTATAAATAATTGAATATGCGTTTTTGAAGCGTTATGCTACTTTTTTAGTCGTAGTCTTTTAAAAAATGGCATCTTAAATAGTTTTTAACGATACTTTTCGATACTGAAAAATCTGAAACGCTTACAATACTAATTTTCAGCAGAATAATTTATACACAAACCTGCCTCCTCTCACTCACTCTTTTCATTTGCTATTTGTGTTACATGGTTTATATTTCGGTTTTGGATTGTACATAGTTTTAATTATTCCCGCAGATTTTGTGCTCACTTCCAAAGTGTGCGGACATAAAGCAGTACGAAAGTACACCTCATTTTTCGCTGCTTATTGTGGTTAAACTGTCATATACACGCATAACAATGTCAAAATGCCGGTCTAGGCGAGTATTCATGTAAACACAGTTAGTTACGTTTTAAATAAACGTAGACAATTGAGAAAGAAAGCATGTGTAACAGTATAAGTGATCCATGCTTCAGGTCTTAAAGTGACGGGAGCATAATATATCTATAGCAGTTTTCCCCTATGGTATCAGTGTCAAATTGTGGCTAGTAACTTGGGAAAACCACTAGCCACAGACGTCTACATAATTGTGTAAACCATTATGCTTAAATATGTGTTAAATAGTTTGACAATGGGGTAAGAGAAATACACTGAACTCAATTTATATTCTTGAATTAAAACAAGGTAGTTCCAGCCCTAAAACTTTTTTTGCAGTCTAGTAATGGTTGATTTAACTGTGAAGACCACAATTAACCTGATAAAATCATGAATTTAAATGATCAAAAAGTAATGTAATTTTATAAAATAATAATTGATAAATAGGACATTTTCATAAGGATACCAGTGCAAATTTCAATGCTTTTATTAGCTTCTGTAGGCCAATGTCGGTCAAAGAGAAACATAAATTTGTGTTGGTGGGAAAATTATGTGAGCTTGGAGACTAAAAAGTGAGAAAATATCATGCGGTATATCAAACAGAGGGTGATATACTGTACGCTATTTGTTCTGGAGGCCTTTTTTTATTGTAAGAACGAAAACAAGAAGCTTGGCGGGCGGGCGGACGACTTGGCCCGACATGAGGAAAAGCTCGGGCTGTTTTGGCCGCAGCCTTCGGGTTGCTTATTCTGAATAAGGTTCAAACAGGACCATAATGATACAGTGGCAAAGCTCAAAAACCCCCAGTGCCTGTCCGCTCCCTCCTCCCCCCCCCTGTCCCGCCGCCATGCATGTAATTACCTCGTTCAGGCAACCATGATGGAAACCTACGACAGGAAGGTTGTAGAATTCCTACCTAAACTCTGTTTTTCCATCCAAAACTAGACAGTCAGTGTCAGAGGCAAAACGAAATCTATCACTTCTCAGATATCAACACTCACCTACCTATTCAGACTGACACCAGGAATGTCAGCGGAGCTATAGCCAAGAAAACCACCGAAAAGGAAATTAACGTATTTGTTCTGCCTATCCCGCTCTTACAAGAATCCAGTTTGAACACTGTGCACACAATCTGTCCTTTTTCTAAAGTTATTTTTAATAATCCCGCTTTTACGATCGCCCAACTCCCGGCGGACTGTAAATCTAATCCAACTTTCAACAAGCCATGTTTGGCCAGGCAATGACGCTTAGCGCAGATCTGTTGTGGGTTTATTATTACCTTCACGTACAGTGGAGGCTCTGTGCAACACGCTGAGGTAAAATGTGTCAATCCGGGTCTCCGCTCTGCTCTATGTGCCCTGAAGTTGGATTTTACCCCTTTTGTTGCCATGTTTTCCTTTCAATATGAAACTTGGAGGCTTATAATGCTTCATGTGTCACGCTTTGTTTGAGTATAATGACTCGCAGAGGAACAATGAATGAAAGAGAGGAATGCAAGATGGGGCTGGCTTTATCCATAAGAGCTCACTGTTCACCCCGATGGCTCCGGGCCACGCATTGCGTAATGTGTAGTATCAGGCTGCGTTTTTAAGGATGACAGACGTGTCTGATGCAGGTTTTCTCGCACTCTAAAAACAGCTGTAAAAATGACGATCAAAGAAAAGGGAGTTTTAGGACCCGCATAAATGACGATGAGAGAATGTTAAAAGAATGATGGGCGCTAATGTGTCACTTTACTGTTATGACTACTTACAGTATGAAACAGGTTAGGTTAGTTATACATATGTACTGCAAAAATCATATCCCTAATCATTTTTTTGTAACTTTTGTTTTTGTTGCTTAACAGATACATTTATTTAAGAAGCAACACCGTATCAGATGTTTTTTCCATAAATTTTGGAAGTAATTACTTACTTTTTAATAATTTTGTTCTGTTGTTGTTGTCATCTGTTGTCTTAGTACGAGTGGGATGTGATGGTTGGTCGGTGTGTTATTTGTCCCGCCCCTCCTCCACTCTGATTGGACGGTGATGGGCGCTACGTTTTACCCAAAGTTGAACATTTGCAGCTCCCGGCGACCAGAATAAACAGCAAGCGTCCTCGCCACGCCGCTCCCGTGTTTAAATAGGCGGTGATCCCATTGAAAACAATTGATAAAATACGCTGGTCTTAGGAAAAGAAAAAAGCTCTGGTGGACACACGGCCTAAATGTACACTACCGTTTAGCGCGATTTTTGTACGAATTGTATTCAGCCAGGGTGCATTAAATTGATCAAAAGTGACAAAAAAGACATTTATAATGTTACAAAAGATTTCTATTGGAATTACATGTTTCTGTAACTTTCTATTCATCAAAGAATCATGGTTTCCACAAAGATATTAAGAAGCACAACTGTTTTAAACATTGATTAATACGGATTGTTTCTTGAGAATCTAATTAGCTGCTAAGGGATCGATTACATTACAAAACATGTTAAAATAGAAAACAGTATCACAATATTGTTGTTTATACTATAAATCAATAGTTTTCGATCAAATAATTTAGCCTTTTTGATCATTGGAGACTTCTTTCAAAAAACGTACTGATCCCAAAATTAAACGGTGGTGTATTAAAAAAAAAAAAAAAGACTAGCTATCTTATTAAGAAGTCAGTTTTGCTCTATATGTGTCAAAAGAGATAATATTTTCCTTAAACCTCTCACTTTTTTACCTTAAGTAGTCTTTAAGAAGTCAGCTTTGTCCTTTATTAACATGCTGAACAACTGCAGCATGTGGAAAGCCTCTAATTATAGTGTACTCTTCCAGTTATTGGGCTGTGGCGGGAATGTGGATCAGTGCGCCAGACCCCGATAACCCCGTCAGGACGTGTGGAACAGTCTAAAACGCTCTCTAGTCCTGGATTAATAATCATTTATTAATCTGTGATATCATTAATCTTGAAATCAGTTCGTCCGGTATAAAAAAAAAACAGCTAGCGCTAAAATTGAGCGTTTGATAATTATTATTATTTAATTTTTTTTTTAAATCTGGTTAAACGGTTCCACAAAGCTGTATTTTTAATTCTGATGACTCTCGGTTAGCCACATATGCTCTAAAACGACGAGTTGCAACGTTCATGTGAGCATTGCGAGTTCAAAACTAGCTTGCGGCCATTCCTTGGGTCAAATTTAACCCAATTTTGGGTCAAATATGTACAAACCCAGCCGTTGGGTTATATTTTTAAATAGCATTTTTAATCCAACGTTTGGGTTTCTCCATATTTGACCTAAAATTGAGTTAAAAAACCCATCATTCTTCGCACCATTTCCGCTACGTTCTTTATTATTATTTTCTGTGACCTTCGCAGAAAGTCCCAAAAAGTTTTAGGAGAGGTTCATATCTGGTGCAAAGGAGGAGACGCTGAATGAAGTTGACGTTTCGTCTGTGAAACTGAGGGGGACAGTTGGCGTTCGTCCTCTGAAAGGCTGGGTGACACCCCTCATTATTCCCTCACAGGATGTTCCCCTCCGCTACATCTGTGTGCTCCGCCGCCTTTGATATTCAAACCAACCCGTTTCCATTTTAGATCATCATAGCTGTGCAGAATTCACTTCCTTGTCCTTCCCCCTCGCTAGTGCCAACGTGCTTCCCAACTGTTTGCTCTGAGAATATTTGTGTTTCATTAAGTTTTTAAGCGAGTCACGTTGTAGCTGTAGAGGACAAGGGTTTGAGTCCCTGGAGAATCCTCTTTCGGGATTCTT